CAGATTTATTGGGGGGTGATTTAAATTTAAGTTGAGTCAAACAAAGGTGATTTAACTTTAAGTTGAGTCTGAAGAAGGAGACATAGAATGCGTCAGAGGTAGTGCTCATTATGAAATATACAATCTTGATTATAGCTCAAAATGTTTTAGTAAGTGTCATTGTGTCAAGATGGGAAACATGTATTCAAAAACAATAAAAATATTAGAATCTCGTTTCCAATAAATTTTAAAATTCTAATCTTGTTATGGAAGCTTTAAAACAGAAAAACTACAGTTAAAAGCATTATTTCCAGAGAAGTGACGTCGAAATTATATTTTTTTTCGGAAGTTCTCCGGACACCCATTAAATGTCTGCGCGCACCTACAATTGTTCATAGTCGGACAGCTTTATCCTCCGCATTGTTTCACTCCAAAAAGATATGTAGTAATTATGCTGCGCCGCATCAAGTATGCTCCTTATATTTTTCTTTTTGTTTTTTTGTTAAATTACACTCCACATGGAATTACGGAATCAATAATACTTAAATAAAACCTTTTTGTATTGATTAATTTTATTGTTTTCAGAATACAATTATCCCCATTTGAAAAGTCAAAAATTCTATTTATTAATATTTCTATTCGTAAATAGTTGTATACGTTGAGTTTTGTATGCTTGATCTACTTTGATTAAATTATACGGAGTATTACTTCCATCGCCACTAACATTGGGACATGAGAAATTGATGCAGTTATTACGAAAAGTGTATTTATATGGTTGATATAGAATTCAAGTAAAAATGATTTACTACTTTTTAGTCGGTTTTGGTTTTTAGTCAGTCGGTTTTGGTCGGTTTCGTTTTTTAGTCGGTCAATTTTTGTGACTTTTAGAATAGATGAAACCGAGAATCGAACCACAAAAATCGAGTCAATTTCGGTTGTATAGTTTTCTGTCAATTTTAGCCGTTTTTGCCGGATTTTGTTGGTTTATTTGCGTTTGATCGATTTTAAAGGCAAAAGTATGAACCGTAAACTGAATAACTGATGGATTAGTCACTTTCGATCGGTTTCGATTTTATTGGTTCAGTTTTGATCGGTTTCGGGTTTGGTCGGTTTTGGTCGGTCAGTTTTGGTTTTTCGGTTTTTTTGTTCACCCCTACGTACCGCAAAAGAAATATGAGACAATTTTAGCGGAACGGAGGAAGTATTTATTAATTATTTGAAATTTACATTTTTGAAATTCGTTTTAAAATTTCTCTCAGTACAGATTTTAAAAATATGAATATTTTAATTCTATTTGAAATATATTATTGGTCAGAACTGTGTGTTGGCAAATTCATATCCACCAATCGTTTATCAAATCAGACTTAAATAGACAAAACTAGGATATTTTTTAAAATTGTACGTAGTATATAATACTGGTGTTATATAAAAACTCATAAAAAATTATTAATTTGGATATAGTTTGTATAAAGATGAGAATACGGCTAAAAAAGTTATGACATTTTAGAAAAAAAATATTTCAATGCCCAGCACCTACATATTGGTTGTAGAGTTAATATTGAAATTGATTAAAATTTGTCAAAGTACGTATGGGTGGCGTGGCGTGTGCAGTTCTAAGGTGCCGTTTTAAAAGAATTGATAAAAAGGTCAAAATTGTCTCACGAGGGTTACATAAAGTAATAATATGGGTGCGCGAAGCAGCACCCTTTTTTTTATTACCAAATGTGACACTTTATGGGGATTGATGAAAGGACATTTTGTATCAAGTTCCTTGATGGAGTAGTGTAACATGGATCCGGAGCCTCTACCTTGCTTTAAAGCAAGGCAGGGTGCCTGGCTCTTCCGGGCCGTTCGATTGGGAATTGGACGGCCGAAGATGTTGGGCTCCACCCATTCGTCGATCATGAGGTCGTCCTCGTCGCCTCCCTACCGTCGGATGCCGCAAGGCACTCTGCCTTATGGCAGAGGATCCTGATCCAGTGTAACATGGTTTGAAGTGACCATTTAGTTTAGTGGTTCTGGTATTCTTTTCTTTCCCATTAAAGTGGTTCTTAGTTCTGGTATCATGTTTTCAAAGGGGTTGCAAACTACTACTAATTTAACTGCTTCCTGTATACTTGCCGGTGGTTTCAGGATGCAGCACTGACCATACCTGTGGCTCCGAATACCCAACAGCTGGAAGCTTTCCAGGACCTTCAGGCTAAATATGAAAATTTGGTGGGTCAAATTCATATATAATTGCTTTAATCTTTGGGCTCGTTTGGTAGTTTACACGTTAAATCTTTGCACATGAAGTGATTACATGCAAAGTATAGAGACACAATCATTTTGCATGTAAAAGAGATTACATTGTTTGGCTACATCAATCAACCAATCATCATTTACCCCAGTGCCGCAAAGGCTCCCACCTACGGTGGGGTAAGGGGGGTTGGATGTACGCAGTTTTACCCCTGAACTAAAGCACTGAGAAACTGAACTGTTTCCGAATGACCCATAATGAAAATCGCTTACAAAATTGCATGGACTGACTACTACTTCATAACAAAGAAGAGCAGACAGTTTGGTGAGCCATTTTGCTTTATTCCATCATATTCTCAAGCCAAAAAATAATGAATCTTTGACTCCATTGCAAATGATGGAATATTGTTTGGCTACATGTGTAATTTATTTTTAAATTGCACGCAAAGCCGTTGAAGTGTTTCATAAAAGCTATGCAAATTATTTTATCACCCTCCCCCCACGTAAAATACTTTACATGGTATAGTGCGAAATGTTTTAAAAAAGTGTCCTACAGTTTACATTAAATAATCTATCCAAACAGTGTAAACATTTTACGTCCTTACACTCGCATGCAAAGTAATTATTTTACATCCTACCAAACACCCCCTTTGTTGGAATGCATTGCTTGGTAATTAGTGTTCATTTATGGGTTTTAATGTGTTTGGCAGAAAACAAGAGCCTCGGAGATTGCTAGCGTTATAAAACCATGCTTAAACAGGGAAACAATGCCAGCCATTGCAATGGCAGCCTTCCAGGAGCTTGAAAGCTTTGGGGGCAGGTGATGTGGATCCGAGCCACCATTTCAGAAGAAAAAAGTGTTGGTTATTATTACTATTTAACATAGTGAAAAATACTGTTTTGTTTATTTAGTGCAGAAAAAGTGTTTCTAAGTACAACTAGTCTTTATTTAGTAGGAGAATGTAAGTTTGAAGTCTTTCCATTGAACATCATTATAATTAGGCAATTCTGCTGTGTATGTTTGTATTATACCTTGGAGTGGTAGATTGAACTTTAATTGCAGTCTGGTTGATTGTGTGGTTTTTTTTTTGTTTTATATTTTACCACCTTGTTTTTTACTCCTCAATTCCTCATTGTGGTCAAGGCTTCTTCTCGCCTGCCTTGATTCCAAAGTTTGCTTCATCTCTTTGAGGTTCTACACTTCTACCTCTCATTTCTATTTTTTGTTGGGTTCACTACCATATACCAGTTCACTCCAACATATTTTAACTATGTATTGAGGCTTTGTTTTCATGTGCTTGGCTGTCTGGAGAAGAAAACATTTTCTCAGTTTTTTTTGTCTTTATTTTTTTAGGTTTAGAGAATTTGCTTGGTAATAAGGATGATTTTACTGGCTTTACTAAGTTATCTTCAGTGTAAATACATCTTCCATTCATTTCTTAAACTCCATCTCCGTGTATCATTTCTCGAAAGATGATACAATGCTTTACAAATCCTAAAATATTCTGGGATTTCTTTTAAGAGTACTCTCTCCCAAGTCCCAACAATATCTAATAACTCTCCAAATTTATGAATTTATCAAAAAGTTCTCGTTTACTTTTAAGAAGATACCTGTATTTTTTGTAATACACTTCTAAAAGAGTTAACTGCACAATTATACTACCTAAACTAGTGCAAAAAGTAACAGAAATATTATAGGACAAATGGAGTATGTAGAGCATCCTAGTTTTCAGAATTACTCATATATAACACATGTTCCACAAGAACATAATTTTCTGCAAATAAATGGAGTTTTACTTTCAAGACTTCACTAGGAAGTCCATTCGATACGTGAATCAGTTATGTATAATCTCTTAAGCAAGTCCTGTACCAAAAACTGAAAGTATTATTCCTATCAGTTTTTCTTAAATTTACTGAGTTTTTCAAGGAACCAAAAAAAGTCAGATTGACATAACGATCATTTAGGAGTTAGGACCAACCAACCATACTAACTAACTGACCAAACCAATCACAGGGATGCTTTAAACTATAGTTAATTGAAGCATGGCCCCTTTTATGCTTAAAGGAACATTTATGGGATTTTGTAGGGAATAATGGAATATGTAAGATCTTGATTTTCATTTGACAACCACTACCGCTTTGAAGAACTTCATGGAGAGCCATGGAGGTAGTAAGGTAATTTATACTACCAAGAGTCAGGTTATGATAATTAGTCATTTTCTCTTTTATCAACATTTTTTTATAATCACAATCTCTTTTAGTAATAAACTGTATTACACATCCAGGGGATATCAGATCATGTTGGTGTATAAAAATATGCTATTATACAACACTACCCGCAATATTAGTGTATTCTATTGTGTAAAAAAAAATTAGGGAAATTTTTCAAAATAGGAGAAAAAAATGTGTTTTCCATAAAAAAATTAATATGATAGAACTAATGTCATAATATTATACGAGTAATTCTTTTCAGGATCACAATACTTATTTCCATTTAGGGAAACCTCTTTACTTTTACTCATATGTAGGTCAATTTCTTAAAATATTAAAGTGATAATATGGGAAGAATATCTAAAAATAACATGATAATTTTGGTGTTGCAATGTGTCTCCCACCCTACCACCCAAGTACCCAACACCCTCACTCCGGTATTTATTGTTTTTATCTCCGATTCCATACCTCGATTCAGATAAGCAACCCAAACTTTTTTGGGACCAAGGTTGGGGTATTGTAAGCCAATGATGTGGGGGGGGGGGGGGGGGTCCAGTACCCATTGATGAACTGATGCTGCTGGAAGGTGCAGTCCAGTGCTATATTAGAATTGGTATAGATCATGCGACCATGCCACTGTCCAAATAGGGACGGAATGAATGAAATTGGACTGCATTGAACAAAAGCACAATATAACAGGACCTCTTGCACACTTTTACCAATAACCTCTTGCATGCTTTTACCTATAATAATTTTTTGTGTATTACAACAGCAGAAGCAACTTGCCATTAACAAAACTCCTATCAAAATGAGCTTAGACTCGCATAAATAAACAGCAGATCAGATCCGTGCAGTGTTGTTGATATTCTCCAAGGAAAATGCAGCACCAGTAGAGTCTTCAGACACTGAAGGATTAGATCTTAGAATATATACAACCCAGAGGTGAAGACATACAAGGTAAACAAGTGACCATATCCTTGCTTTCGAGTTTCTTCGAAGGAACAAAGCTCCTGCAGAGAAGATGTAATCTAACTGCCAAACCAACGACCATAAATGTCGCTGACCTGACCGAAACCTTTCCTCAAATGAGGACGACTTCAGTTTTGAATTCCCTAGGCTCCATTCCCCCAACTCCAAATCACTGGCTGATGAGGTACTTGGGATTTGTTTGTTTTCATCCAATGATCTCGTTACAGCCTAGGAAGAAGACACCAAGTCCAAAAGGTTAGTCAGAAAATTCATGGCAGTTGAAAGTTGTACTCGACAATAATTACTTGCCTCGATTTTAAACAACAGTGTGGCTTTCTGGGAAGAGAGAGCCTCAACCTAAATGAACAAGTGACACATTCAATCCAATTTGTCAGTTTAGCATTTCTCACATCTAAGAAAAATTAAAGAAGCATCAAACTCAAAGTAGATATACAAGTCTACTCTTTCTAAAGGTTTGAAATGATACTCTCTCTATCCCTAAATTATCTTCCACTTTCTATTTCGTCCGTCCCAAAATTATTGCTCATTTTCTCTCAAAACTTGGTAGTTTTGTGCCTTGCAATTGTGCGTTGTTCTCTTCCTCCCGCCCTTGCTCTTTTAGTTTTTGAGATATACATCGAGGGTGATGTCTCACTCTGAGTGTGGGGGAGCGTTTTTTGGGCCGTGTGGTTTCTTTGTAGTGAGTTAAAATTTGTGTTTATGGGTTCTTTGTGCTTTCCTTTTCAATTATTGATGAATTTCAAGAATGAATTTGTACTTGCATGTGAATAGGTACATAGATCTGTTGGAAAGGCAGATTTTGACCAATGGACTGTTTAGAGCCACACTTGCACGCACTCACACTCATAGCATAAGATGACAAATGCGTGATCATCTCCACTTTTCTCACGTAATTCATCTCATACCCCTACTTGTTCTCTACGTTTTAGCTTTATGTGGATCCCATTTGACCTTGATTTTTTTCCTGTATGCCCTTTAGCTTTATGGCCATATTACCAATACTATTGGACCGTGTTTGGAGATACACTTGACGCGAATTTGACAAGTGTCAGAGGATTGGACCCTCCTTCAATTTTTGCTTTTTTCAAATCCATTTTGCCTAGTCAAAGTGGGCAATAATTTTGGAATGTTCAGAGTAATTCTCAAGCACAATCCTTGAAAGGAACTATATTATCTAGCTGAGGAAATTTCTGTTGAGCAAATACTTCAATCATGGAGGTGGATTAGTAGTTCCACCTAAAAATCCAGCAAATATTTTCTGCCTTTAATATTGTAATGGACTAATGGCTACTAAGATCATTTTAACTGCTCTGATAAAAGCACTTGAGGAGCCTTCTCCTTCCACCATCCTACATAATACGTAGTAACATGCTATATATAATGCAGTCTTATGATTCTACTCTGCCATTTCATGACAGTTTCAGAAAATATGGTTTCATTTACAGATGGATATATGTAAATCAAACCTGAGTCTGTTTCTGAATCAAATGGTCAGTCAACTGACCAAGCCTACGCTTTAGCTCAACTTCCACATCGGTAGGATTCTCCAGTTCTCTCTTAGTAGTACCAATGCTTGTTTCTAGTGTTCTTGCCTGTATTGGATCAAGCATAAAAGCTTACAAGCTCAATTTGTTATAACTGTAATAATACAAATTGCTTAAAGAGTGCTCAGTTGCAATGTGGAAAAAGTATGTTCCATAATTTATGACATTATATGTTGTGAACGTAAAGATGTTTGGTAAATGGTATTGAAATTCTGGTCATGCACACTCACTTAAATCAGTTCCAGTAGGATACACACAATTCAAAGCTATACTATATCATACTTGTCCAACACAATATATGACTGTTTTGAGCACGGTTATTTCATAAAAAAGAGTGAGTTGGCACCAGTTATGAAGGATTTGACACAAAAGTTCTTCTCTATCAGGGGGTTGTGTACCTAAAAAACATTTCAGTTTATAAGGTTACACTTTTCAGGAAAAGATAGTGCACCTTTTCTTGCAATGCTGCCACTTTATCTGCTAGGAAAGAGTACTCTTCTTCAAGTATCTCCTTTTCAAATTCATCTCCTTTTGAAGACACCAACTGTAAATTGTTCCCATGGTGAGAAAAGTACAGTTACTTCACATTTCACATTACAAAATTGGTTTATTAAATACTTGGAGGCATAGACAATAAAGACATTACTTACTCTTTTTCCACTTTCCTTAGTTTGAGAAATCTTCCTTCTTAGATCTACAATTGTAAATTCGTAATAGGTTTAGTTCATTTCTTAGAGATTCTAATTTCCTACTTGACTCATATTAAAACAGTCATACCACACCTTTAGTCCGACATAGATACATTCTTGTTAGCAATTAGCAGATACCAGTAAAAGTAATGCATAATAACAACTTAAGCTCAAAAGACTCTCTTGTAATAATAAGAACCATTTATAGATATTATTTAACCTCTCGAACTTCAAGGTTGAAAGGTTGAAATTTCACAAGTCGACATGAAATCATATTGGATATGAAGAACTTTAACAAGAATTCTCATTATGCAACGTTCAAAGAGAACCTCAAAGGCTATACCTTCTTGAATTGCTTCTTTCAGTTCAATCTGTTGACGAAGTTCTACAACTCGATTAACCTAAGTGCCAAAGGTAAAACAACCTTACACAAATCAATAAAATAGTATACGTAGGCTAGGATAAAATGGGGGAAATATTCTCTATAACTCAAACAGGGTTATTGATGCATTCATAGGGCGTCAATATCACCGTAAAAGAAAGAAAGATAAAAATCAGCAAATAACACAAACAAATCTGACTGATTTGGAAGACAAATAAAATCAAACAAATCTGGGAGACAAATAAATCAGACAAATCTGATTGACATGTCACAGTCAGGGATTTGAGATCCTGAGAGATCTGAGATATTATTTTCTGATTGCAATCTTTGAATTATTGTTTTCTTTTAAGTTGTTTTCTTTATTTTATTTTCCAAACTCTGTAAAGCCTATTTAATGGCCAGTTGAATGCAGGGAAAAGGTATGCAAGTTTTTAGCAAGAAAAGTCTAAGGGAGTTTCTGGAATTCTCAATAAAAAATTCCAACTTGTGATAAAAGTTTGCATAATTATATTTTTCCTAGTTCTCTGCCAAACAGTAAACATAGCCAACCCTTCCAAAGCTCAGTCTACCCTCCCATTCACCCGAAGGCCTGTGACGAGATCTTGCACACAAGCTGCCCGTATCATTGGTTCCGTTGCCGGCGTCATGGGCGATGGGCTGTTTGCATCAAAGGAAGAAGTCTCCAATTTGAAAGAATCCATAGATCGACTTGAACAGATGATGGAAAAATTGCTTGCAGACGGAGGTAAAACTGCAACAACAGAGGCTACCAATGCTGATCCGGTGGTGGTACATGCACCGGACAACATGAATCACATGGCTACTACTCATGGATCACATTTTGAGTTTCCCCTTTTCTCGGGCACGGAAGATCCACTCAGTTGGCTTTATCGCTGCGAGTTATTCTTTATGAATCAGAATGTTCCCCCTGCCAAACGAGTTTCTATGGCTGCTTACTATCTCACTGGAGATGCTCAGTTGTGGTATCATCATCTACGCCAAGATCAGCCCCATATTTCTTGGGAAACTTTTCGAGATTACTGCAATCACAGATTTGGTCCCCCTGGTGGTGCAAATCCATTAGGGGATTTGACAAATCTAAAACAACAAGGCCGTCCAATTGAGGAATACATCACACAGTTTCAGAACAGCCTAGCACGTGTTCCACCACTTCGTATGGACTACCAAGTTTCCATTTTCACAGCTGGGTTAGACGAGGTGTTGCGAATAGATGTGGAATATCAAAAACCATTGAATCTGACTATGGCGTTTAGTGAGGCAAGACTATTCGCGAGAAAGTTGCAGCTTTGGACTTCGACTCATCCCAGAACATTACGGCCGCCTCCCAAGACAGTGCACTTCCCGACAACAGCCACCACACAATTACCATCAGGTGCAGGACCCTCAATAACTCGGTCAGCCCCTCCTCCATACATGAAGAGGCTGTCCAAAAGTGAAGCAGCAGAACGGCGAGCGAAGGGACTTTGTTACAACTGTGACGAAACATATGTACCGGGGCATAGATGCAAACGACTATTCTGCCTTTGGATGGATGATGACGAGGAAGGGTCTGAAAGTCACATTGAGCCCACAGTTTCCCTTTATGCCATGGCTGGACTTCGTCACCCCAACACGCTTCAAGTGCAAGTCCAATTGGCCGGTAATTATGTTCTTGCAATGATTGATTCAGGGAGCACCCATAATTTCATCAATTCCCAAACTGCCCTCTCACTTGGGTTGCCAATAACACCTCGCCAGGATTTTCGTGTGGCAGTGGCTAATGGAGAAAAGCTACTCAGCACAGGTGTGTGCGAGCGAGTAAGACTTGTTAAGGCCGGTGCCACATTCATGATTAATCTTTTCGTCTTACCGATATCAGGGTTTGATATTATCATTGGGGTAAAATGGTTGGAGGAATTGGGTGATATCGTGTGTAACTTTAGAGAGCAAAGGGTCACCTTTACCATACAGGGAAGAACCGTTACTTGGACAGGAGATGCAGCTCCAGTTGGCACTACTTTGAATTCTATACATCCTACAATTTCTAATGATCAAGCAATGGAGGAGCTTCTGAGTTACTTTGACACCATTTTTTCTGAGTCTATGGCGCTGCCTCCAACACGCAATTGTGATCACCGTATTATTCTCAAAGCTGGGACAGATCCTGTTGTTGTACGACCGTATCGCTACCCACAACTGCAAAAGGATGAAATTGAGAAGCAGTGTTTGGAGATGCTAGAAAGAGGACAAATTCAGCCAAGCCGAAGCCCGTTTTCATCTCCAGTACTCTTGGTTACCAAGAGTGACAACTCATGGCGCTTTTGTGTAGATTATCGGGAACTCAATGCACAGACCGTTAAGGATAAATTTCCTATTCCGGTAATTGATGAGCTCTTAGACGAACTTCACGGATCTCAGTTCTTCACAAAGCTTGACTTGCGCTCAGGGTACCATCAAATACGCATGAGCCCAGAAGATGTTGAAAAAACAGCATTCCGCACCCACCATGGACATTTTGAGTTCCTGGTGATGCCATTTGGCTTGTGCAATGCACCGTCCACCTTTCAAGCACTTATGAATGAGGTATTCGGGCCCCATCTTCGTAAATTTGTCTTGGTTTTTTTGACGACATATTAATCTACAGTCACACTTGGGTGGAGCATCTACAACACATTAGAATTGTGTTTGGATTGCTCCAAACTCATCAATTGTTCCTAAAAAGGCAGAAATGTGTCTTCGGCGTGCTAAAGGTAGCCTATCTCGGACATGTGATTACTGGAAATGGGGTGGCGGCAGATAATTCAAAAATCCAGGCAATCATTGATTGGCCTGTACCAGTCACAACCACTGCTCTTCGTGGATTCCTTGGTCTAGCTGGTTTTTACCGACGTTTTATCCGGAACTTTGGTGTACATGCAGCACCTTTAACTTCACTCCTTCGTCGCAATGCATTTTCATGGTCCAGTGAAGCTCAAACTTCATTTGACACGCTCAAAACTGCCTTGTCCAGTTCACCTGTATTGCAATTACCCAACTTCTCCAAACCATTCCTAATTGAATGTGATGCATCAGGGGTGGGTATTGGAGCAGTTCTACAACAAGAAAACCACCCTATTGCCTTCTTCAGCAAGAAGCTTGCAGACCGCCACCTTAAGCTGCCGGCATATGAGCGGGAATTGATAGGCTTAGTCCAAGCAATACGAAACTGGAGGCACTATCTTTGGGGCCGCTCTTTCGTGATCCGAACTGATCATTATAGCCTAAAATACTTACTGCAGCAACGCCTTACAACCTCACCACAACAGCATTGGATGAGTAAACTCTTAGGTTTTGATTTTGAAGTCGAATACAAACCTGGAAAACTGAATTGCGTGGCAGATGCTCTATCACGGAGGGATGCAAATCCAGCAACCCTCATGGCAATTACCATGGTTCACGCCCAGTTAATGGAGGACTTAAGGAAGCACTTTCAGCACTCTGAGGAAGGCCAGATTGTTTTCAACAAAGCAGCACAAGGGGGAAATTCTAATTGGACAGTTCGTGATGGCTTGGTCTATTACAAGTCCAAAATATATGTGCCGACTGACTTTAATTATATTCCTACCATCCTCGCAACAGTTCATAATGCTACTCATGAAGGGATTCAAAAGACCCTGCATCGCATAAAAAGGGAATTCTATTGGGATGGCATGGCATCCTCGGTAAAGGACTTCATCACCAATTGTGCTATTTGCCAAAAAAATAAATGGGAAAACTTGCACCCAGCAGGTTTACTCCAACCTCTACCAATTCCTGAACAAATATGGGCTGATATTTCAATGGATTTTATTGATGGGCTACCAAAGGTTGGGGGTAAATCAGTTATCTATGTAGTGGTGGATCGATTCTCCAAATACGCTCACTTTATGGCATTGTCACATCCGTACACAGCAGCGTCAGTGGCTCATTCTTTTTTCGGTAATATCTTTAAATTACACGGCCTGCCTGAAACAATAGTCAGTGACAGAGATGCAGTCTTCACAAGCCTATTCTGGAAGGAACTCTTTAAGTTATGTGGCACACACTTGGCATTTTCTTCATCTTATCACCCACAAACGGACGGTCAAACAGAAGTCGTTAATCGCACACTCGAAATGTATCTCAGATGTATGGTAGGAGATCACCCACGCAGGTGGGTAGACTGGTTGCCATGGGCTGAGTTCTGCTATAACACCTCTCTCCATTCGGCTTTGGGTACTTCACCCTTCAAGGTCGTATATGGGCGTGAACCACCGAGGCTTATATCCTACGAACCAGGATCATCCAAAATAGAAGCAGTAGACACTGCTTTGAAGGACAGAGATGCAATCTTGAGCGCTGCTCGAAATCACCTCATACGGGCTCAAGACAGAATGCGTCTTGCATACGACAATAACCACCGAGATGTGGTGTTTAACGAGGGACAGTGGGTTTGGCTTCGCCTGCACCCATATCGTCAATTCAGCGTAACCAAACGGACATCAGCGAAATTATCTCCACGGTATTTTGGACCATTCCAGATCATCAAGAAAATTGGCAAAGTGGCATACAAGTTAGCCCTTCCGGAGGGTAGTAAAGTCCATGATGTTTTCCACATTTCTTTACTGAAGGAATTTAAGGGAACGCCACCAGCACAGTTTCCCACACTACCTAATCTTCACGATGGGAAACTTCTGCCACAGCCAAAAGAGGTCTTACGGGGTCGTCTTAACAGGGGCAAAAAAGAGATTTTAGTGGTGTGGTCTGGCATGCATCCAGATGAGGCTACTTGGGAGGATGTCGATGAGTTCAGTCTTCATTTCCCTACCTTCAAGCTTGAGGACAAGCTTGATCTCAACGAAGGGAGTAATGATGCATTCATAGGGCGTCAATATCACCGTAAAAGAAAGAAAGATAAAAATCAGCAAATAACACAAACAAATCTGACTGATTTGGAAGACAAATAAAATCAAACAAATCTGGGAGACAAATAAATCAGACAAATCTGATTGACATGTCACAGTCAGGGATTTGAGATCCTGAGAGATCTGAGATATTATTTTCTGATTGCAATCTTTGAATTATTGTTTTCTTTTAAGTTGTTTTCTTTATTTTATTTTCCAAACTCTGTAAAGCCTATTTAATGGCCAGTTGAATGCAGGGAAAAGGTATGCAAGTTTTTAGCAAGAAAAGTCTAAGGGAGTTTCTGGAATTCTCAATAAAAAATTCCAACTTGTGATAAAAGTTTGCATAATTATATTTTTCCTAGTTCTCTGCCAAACAGTAAACATAGCCAACCCTTCCAAAGCTCAGTCTACCCTCCCATTCACCCGAAGGCCTGTGACGAGATCTTGCACACAAGCTGCCCGTATCAGTTATATGTAAACAAAGCTACCCACAAAGCCCCCACCTTCAACCACCAAAGAGAGAGTGAAAAAGATAAGATTAGTTCCATACTTCCATGTATGTAAAGTAGAAAAGACCCATATAAGATTGCACACCATGAAGGTAGAAAATTAAGTGTCAATGACTTATGGGGTGGAAAGGAGTTAAACCAATATATATTGAAACTTCATGTATTGTTAGTCATCTTCTGTGTATCATACCTCTACTTCAAGATTCCATTGTGCAGTAGCAAACGACTTTGCAAGCTCAGCATTAGCAGTCTGTGAAAGGTGACACATGAATTAGATTATTAAGATTCCAACCTTCAACACTAAAATTTTTATCAGACAATCCAGAAACCAACAAAAAGAGCATTATGTATAGAAGTATAGCAAAGCATGAAAAAGATACTGGAAGGAACCTCCAGGATTGCCAGTCTTGTTAGGATTTCCATTCTAGTGCTATTGTGCTTTTGCTTCTCTACCTCAACAGCTTCCATTGTTTCCATCATTTTCGTTTGCAAATCAGAAGCCTAGAAAACAAGCAGTCACATTACAAAGAATATGTTTTATAGAAGGCTATCCATTGACAAAAGGATATCATGCAATAACCACAAATCAAATTCTCAGGCAGTGGTTGTGCCGAAACTAAGAAAATTGTGGGTTAGTAAAGAGATTGATCAGTATGAAACAGGTTAGCACAGATACGTGCAACAAACTCCCTCAAATTACCCAACTTCCCAATATTGAAAGTGCCAATAATGTCAGCCATTATACAACATTGAAGTACACTTTTTATATGATTAACAGTTGCTGACAGAGTAATATGGCCATCTGCTTATTAGTAACAGAGACACAACTATTAAGAAAAATAAGATATGCGAAAGAAAAAACATGTCAAGTCAGCACCGATGAGCTTTAGGGTAGAGCTTTCGTGGAAAAATTAGTAGATTACCAAGCAAGTTGATTGATAAACTGATTAAGATTAAGCCAGTTAATTCAAAACTAGAAAGATCAGAAGAAATTATTGAGTAAGCTAGGAGGCCCTTATGCCTACCTCTTGTGCTTGCTGTTTGGCCCTCACTTGAAGTATCTTTTCTAAGCTCTGCTTCTCCCCTTCCAATTTAGCTATCATATCCTCGCGATCTCTTATTGCTTCAGCTGCTTTTGCAGCTGCTTTTTCTGCCAGAATCTGCTGTCTTCTTTTTCTCATTTCTTCTCTTTCTCGTTCACTTTCAGAGCCTGATGAAGACCCTGAATCTGTCTCAGACTCTGATTCTCCATCACTTTGTGAGGAAGAGTTTATCTTTAGAGAACTCCGAGAAGACACTTTAGGCCCACTGCTAAATATTTGATTATCATTCAGCTGTGTCTTTGGATCTAACTTCGAGTTAGTAGTGACAGATTCCATCCATCTAATACTTCCATCCTTAACAGCATCTACCTGCAGGGGCAATGTTATGTTCTTTTCATCATCATTGTTTCCACGCAAAAGGTCTGAACCTTCATCCCTTCCATCAGGATGAACTCTTTCTGAACCATCCCCATCACTCAATCTCACAGGGTGTCCACTATCAATCCCCTTATTCCCTATTTGATCATCCAATTTCACTGAGCTGTACAAAACGTTAGTGTGAGCCTTCTGGCTCATTTTCCCATCGAATGCCCACAAACTGGAGCCAGAACCCAAACTCCCTTGAGTCGAACCATCCTTCTTCAGAGCTCGAACTCCTCCCACTTTATTGCTTATTCGGGCAACACCCCTAGAGGGACTTTTATTAGGAACACTCAGCAATTCCGTCCAATCTGTATCTGTAAGAGTGCTAGCATTACTGCCCTGATTGGGGCTCAAGTTTGCAGGGGTAACAACCTCCTCGTTTTCATAATTGGCAGTGTCGAAATTCTTAGTTTTATCCGTGCTAATCTCAATAAAATTCTGATCACCCTGTGTCTTTCGACCAAAATGCTGGTTTTCAGGTGTTCTCTTCTTAAGCTGGTCCTTCAATGGCTTATTACCGCTGGATATGGTCGAGATTTCTGTATCTAGCCCTTTAAGCCGAGGCTTTTCTCCCTTCTTAAGTGATTCAGCTGCTTGCTGATCAATCTATGCGGTCCAAAAACAATTCAAAAGAATTAACATGCTTAATTTCCAAAAACAAACACATGTCTTCGAATGGGTGATTCGGTTTCCGAGCAGAAAAGAAAAACAAAATTTTAGCAAGTACCCATCGATAAACAGTACCTGTTGGAGAATATTCTCAGCAACTTTGAGCTTGGAAGAGAGCCAGTTAGCCATGGGCGTGGAATGGCGAGTGATTGTTTTCGTCGTTGAAGATCGACGGGACGTTAATTTTCACACACCGCGCAATTTAGCGAAATGTGGCGTACAAGGACGAAGATATGTTGCATTTTGAAAAAACATCAAAATCGTTTGGTCGGCAGGACGCCAGGACATATCTCTAATGACAAATTTTAAAACTAATACTCCTGATAAGATTGTCCCAGACACTATTCACTTGGTCAACACAAATAACTCTAAACCTATTACTTTATATATCAAATTTTTATCAAATTTAATTCAGTTTTTTGTTACTTTGTAAAATTTTAATGTAGTTTCTAAATATGTAATTTTTTTCTTCTAAAAATAATTTGAGAGCGGAAAGGGATCTGTTTGCTTTATCATCGGTCAAGCATCGTAAACCGAATTGTCCCAATCTTAGTGGGACGGAGGGGGTATCACAAATTTGTTTGATCAGTATTTTTTATTTGGTTATTTTTAGATTTGATCAGATATAAATTAAGCTTTTTTCATATGATTTGAATCTTTTCAGTTATTCAGATCTAATTGAATATTTATTATATTATTATTATTATTATTATTATTTCCAGCTATAACTATTCTTATTTTTTTATTGTTATTGTTAATATACATGAGTATGTTAACAATAACCTTTTATTGTTAATTATTTTTAATAATTACCGGCTATAATTACGTTTGCTTCTCAAGTCAGGAATATTCTGGAGGATATAAGCGCTTATTTAGGATGTTTTTACTTGGACTGTAATTTGCTGGTCTGGTCTGGTCTGATCTAGTCTGGTCTGAACTGGTCTGGTCTGGTCTGGTAAGGTCTGGTTTCTTTGTATTTTTATAACTATCCAAGTCTGGTTTGAACTGGTCTGGTCTGGTCTAGACTGGTCTGGTCTGGTCTGGTCTGGGACAAATTACAGTCCAAGTAAAAACATCCTTAGTGGGAATTTAATGTTAAAGATAAATAAGTGATGTAAGAGACCAACGACTCAGGTACCCCACGCTTTGAGTCGTACTCTTCTCCATTTCCTTCTCTCCATTTACTCTCTCCATTTCTTTTTCACTCTATCTCTCCTTAAAAAAAATAATTAAACCCCATGTTTTTTTTCTCCCTACCCCACCATTTCCCCATCTCACTCTATCTCTCTCCTAATGGAGAACTCCAGTAACTGGAGAGGAGCTAAATTCCCACGCTTTAGCTTATTTTAAAGTGATATAAAACGCTTATTTTACGTTTGTTTCTTCGTCTGGTTGTGATGCTAGTTTTGTCGATCCACTATCTTCTTTTGTAAGTCGATTGAAAACGATCTTTTAATACTATCCTCCGTCTCTTTTTAATCGCAACATGTTGAATTTTACACTATTCACATGTTCTACTTTGACTACATTTTATATTATTATTTTATGAAAATTATTTTTAAAAAAATATATTGTTCAATTCATCTCATTACAAATTTTCAAAATCTAATTTTTAAATATTTTTTACTAATAGAGATTAAGATATAATTACGGTCAAAGACGTGCGTTGGCAAGTGTGAAATGTTGACCGTTGCAACTAAAAAAGAACGGAGGAAGTATAAGGTTTGGTATTTTACTCTAAAAAAGAAATATGAGTATGTTGTGTCTTCATATTAATATTACCGAGTAATATTTTTCATAACCATCAAATTATTAGTATTAATAATCATAATATTAATGTTAATATTCTTATTTCACATTATTTTAATTTCCGATCTGAAATTTGACACTAACTTTATTAAATTAGACTTCTAGGTCGTGTTTTCAATATGGAGTATAAAACAACGCATGACATTTGAAGAATTAAAAAATGAACACAACATTTATGTGAAGAATGTTTGTAAGTAGCGTACCATAACTATTGTTTTCTTATTTTTCCAAGTACAAAATTTATTGACAAATGACATTAAAGACATTGTGCATAGAATATGTCATTTCAGATTTTCAGGCATTCTTATTGAAAGCATAGTGAAATAACACTGCAAGGGAGATATGATGAATAAGAGAAAATGATTAAAAAAAATACAGAATTTTTAACCCCACCTTCAATCCCAAATTCCCAACCCCCCCAACACTCTTGGGTTGGAGGAAGCTCCGATGCCCCCAAACGGCCACGTTAGAGAGCCAATAGAAAAGAAGGAAAAAAATCCTAGCCATTAGCAAGTGAAAATGGATGCTGGACCAAGACTATAAGATTCCAATCCCCTTTATTTAAATCTGAGACCAGCACCAGTGGGACACAGGTCTGACCAGTGCTATACAAGAACCAAGGAGAACTCAATTTTACTATTTGGACCAAGTTCTTCTGCTCAACCCTCTAGGAGTCTAGGCTCTGTCCAATGAATTTGTTCTCAAATATCTACTTGAATAATGTGACATTACCGTATCTATAACTACTTAAATAGACTTGGGTTAAAATGATTGAAGTCTTATGTTGATACTTGATAAGGTTAAGTCACATGCCAATTAGAATATTACATTTATAGCATTGTATTACATTCCTCAATTAAGTACTCCCTCCGTCCCTGAATGTTGTTCCAATTGCGAATTACGAAGGTTGACCGACGATAAAGTTAAATGATCCCTGTGAAAACTCGGATTATTTTTAGTAAATAAAATTTACATATTCAGAAACTACATTAAACCCGCTACAAAGCCTGCAAAAAAAAAAATCAATTTTCATAAAGTTTTGATACAAAAAGTAAGAGTTTAAGAGTAATTTAAGTTGACTCTCGAAAAGCGAAATGGAAGTAAATTTAGGGACAGAGGGAGTAATACTTAATTATATGCTAAACATTTTATTTGGGACTAAGGATTAATAAAGAGAAATTTAAAAAAAAAAAATAGTATAAAAAGAGTTTGTAACCTAATAATTATGCTTCTCCGATGGCATATTGTTACTCTTTGGTTTAGACGCCTTCGTACATATTCTACTTCACAAACTTATAACAGACTTTTATACCAAACTATGTATTTCCAAATAAAGGAGTATTTTTTAAAGCAATGTTAAAAATAGCAAAAATGTAGATCGAATCACATGTGTGATTCGTGTTAAAACTTGAAGAAACATCTCATATGAAGGGGCTTTGTAGTAATCACGGGGCTATCCTTTGCGGGTCACGAGGGAAGAGCGATGTTTTTCGGATGTTGTTAAGTGCACAGAAGAGCATCACCACCCGCTCTAATCCCACTCCAAATCCACCATGTGGAGGGGCACCATACCTATGAAGGAGAAATGCAAAAAGTCAAACATCAACTTTTCTCACCTTTCTTCTAAAAGTCAGAGTTTAAATGATGAACTTGAGTAAAAAGCAACAATATCCGTTCTGTGCAAGTGATGTTCCCCGCTGGGATTTGGAACAAAAAAAATGCATACCAAGTTTAGAATGAAAAGTGTGGGCGTATCCTTACAGCCTGACATGAACAAATTTTAGTGCTCTTTGTAGCTTACATCTCAAACCAGTCATCCATGTAAACAGCGTTACTGCACTACCCTAGGGGTGGACCTGGTCCTGGTTTCAGACCGGTCCAGCAGGAAACGGACCAGTCAGAACCAGTTAAATTGGATTCCCAAAAAGGCCCGACTGGACCGGTTCTGTTTTTAAAATATGCTAAAAAAACGGATGGACTGTGAATGGACTCTCTGGTCCACGTTACAAGTAGCGAAAATGTTGGACTACGAATGGACTGTGTCCATCCCTACTCCGCTATCAAGTTTCTAGTTCAGTTACAAAAAATATTGAAAAAAAAAAGAATGATCATTGCATCCTCACTATCTGACTAGTTCAGTACTGATGAGCTCAACTGAAGTAACTAGAAGCATGTGCAAAATTCAAAACCAATTTTCTTCTAGTAAAAAATAGTCTACCTGAACGAGTCGATGTATGTTGATATTGTTCTGACATCAATACCGCATTCCCCTGCACGTTGAGTTAACAATTCAGGTACATGAACACGCTGAGCTCCTGAAATTATCTCTTCCCCTGTAAGGAGAAACAAGTTCAATCGATGCACTATTAGTGGCTTGCTTTTTAAAAATAAATAAATTACTTCGTGGTGATTTTTTATCTATAATCATTTATTCGTTACCTCGAATGAAGACATCAAAAGAATTGCTGTAAGCAGGATTATCATAACAAGGCATAGTGTAGAATGGTCGAACAGCCAGCGGATAACGGTGAAGTATATAGAATTCTGTTCCATACCTACACAGTGCAAAACAGATTCCAACAAAATCATGAAACACTTTAAATAAAAATTATATAATATATATGCATCACGATAATACAAGAGGAAAAAGGTAAAGTACTTCTCATAAACAAGCTGACCCAGCCTTCTCTCTGATTCCGTGTTTAAGTCTCCAAAAGGATCAACATCAACTCCAGCTTCCTGAGATTTTTAATAATAAAAGGAAAATAATGAGTTGCTGATTTATGCGGGAAAAAGAAGATAACTTAAGTATTTACGTATGTTTTTAGTACTTTTTCATCAACATATTTTGCCAAAATTTTATTTTAAGTGAACTGAACTTAATAGCTTAAGTCCCTAAACATATAACACATCCCATTCTTGGACCAATACAAATGCAAGAATAAAAATGTACCAAGAATATTGGGATCTTTTCTTTGAGGAATGATCTTTAAGGAATGTTTGTCAAATTGTAATGAAATGCAATGTAATAAAATAGAGAGCTTTGTTAGGGAAATTTACATTGCACATGCATTTGATTACATACATTCCATTGCGGCTTACCACATCACATCACCTCCTCATTAAGAATAAAAATTATTATCCAGAACAGAAGCTTTTCATCGTGCTTGAACATATCATGGAGAAAATAAGAAACTCTCACCTTGAGCATTTGAACCCCCTCTTCAAATGTAAGACGTAATGTGCTCTTCAAATACTGCAGTTGCAATGGAATAATTAGTCCACAAGTACTCAGATTGCATTACCAAGTGCATGAAGGAAACAACTTTTTGCAATAATAAGTTAATAACACATTCAATTCACAAGCCATAGCAGCAAAGTTTAAAAGGGTGCTTTTAAGCCTTGATGTGTTTTGCCATTGTAAGGCGAGCCGTAAGCCAAGAGGTGCAAGCCTCACACTTTACGAGGAACTTCCTTTACAATTCAAAACTACTAACAATCTGAACAAGTCAGAAATAAGTGCCATTGACCACTATTGTAAGTTTAACTCTTTAGAAAGGAGTTTTTACCATTTGTTTTGTAAATAAATTTAGAAATCGCTGTTAAATGATAAAAACAGAGAAAAAATGGATGGAGCTGTGTCCTTTTATATTATGGAAAAAAAGAAAATGTTAAAGAGGGTATGTTACCTTCAGCTGTTATTTTTCAAATATGTGGAAAAAATAGCTAGATTTGTTTGAATTATTTGAACCTTGCTGAAAATTTTAGCCCTTTCGCAGGAGTGAAGAGTAGTTGTAGCCTTGTAGATGTTGGAAAATTTTTAAGTATTTCAAATAAACAAGTTTTTCAATCCTCTTCCTTATGTTTTATCCCACACCGGTTTGGGAAGGAACTCCTCCCCACTTTATATTGAAACACTTCTTTTAAAACGTGTAAAAGAAATGGGAAAGGGACCCCCCTCATGAACGGGCTGGGCAGTTCACAAATTGAAATTTGCACCCCATGTCCGGACCTGCGGACACAATAGACGAAAAATTGGCGGGGAGTCAAAAAGATCATTTTGCCATTTCGTTTCTACATTTTTTTTTGAACAAGTCAGATGTAATTTAATACATTTAAACATGAACTTTGGAGTCATAACGTGTGCCATGCCTGACCGAGCATTACTTGGCTCTCCTTTTTATCCCCTATTGTAGGTTCAATAACGTTCTTTTTCAATCAGATAAAGTTACCTTTAATGGTTCAAAGGGATATTGCCTCTGAATGGCATCAAGTTCCTTCTGGCAATTCTCATTCAAACTATCAAACAATGATACAAATAGTCGATCAACAACATCCATCACCTGCACAATATACTCAATGCATGAATTTCTTTTAGAATACGCCCTTGCACATATCCTAGGAGTTATTTTAGTTTACTATGTCACATTAATGAATGTGGTTAATGTCTTACAAACTCGCACACATGAAAACAGTATTTAGTTTGAATACCAAGCAAACAGATGGCGCTTAACAGAAAAATCATTATGGCTTCCTATTATGAACTTTAATCAACACAAATTATACCTCAGAGTAGTGTTCATCTATCTCCATTTCAACATCAAGCCCAGTGAACTCACACAGATGTCTATGTGTGAAAGAATCTTCAGCTCTGAAAACAGGCCCAATTTCAAAGACACGATTAAAATCTCCACAAATAGCCATTTGTTTGTGCAACTGAGGTGACTGTGCCAAACAAGCTGGTTGGCCCTTGTATTGTAATCTAAAGACAGCTGAACCACCTTCGCTAGATCCTGCAATCAACTTGGGAGTGTGGATTTCAAAAAATCCTTCAGGCAACAGAAACTGCCGGAACGCCTGCATCATTTAAAGCACATTATTTAACAAAGGTAAACTCATATACTCAATGCTTCCTCTGTTCCTTTTTAATCGCAAAACTTTGACTTTTGAACTACTGACATACCTTGCAATGACCAATTTTCTCCACTAATATATATAAACAAAATATTTTATGTAACATATTATTAAAATTTATTTTTAAATATTGATAATATTAACTTTATATAATTTTATTCATACATCATTAAATATATTAATGATCAATGTCATATGTTGGCAACCATGAAAGTCAAATTGGTGCAACTAATAAAGCACGGAGGTAATATTAAGGTTGAGGCTACAAGCAAACTAATTGAAAAGTGTTGAATGAAGTCTTACATACAACTTGAAAAAGCATGAAAAAAAACATATGCATGTACATATATTATAAACACACAATATGCAAGCATGTGCAATTGACAGAATATAAGATTGCAGATGACACAGAGTTGAACTCCAAACTAAATGATAAATACAAAACTGACATTTCTGGATGTGTTAAGAAGAATAACAAATTAAGGATTTTGACAGAAAGTTACATCTTATAAATACATGTATACAAAAAGGTTAAACTTAGGCACCAAATGACTTAAAGAACAACGGATGAATGAATTTGAGATCTGTGTTGGAAAATGGATAATGGCATGCAAATGCAGGGATTAAGGACAAACATTTGCAACTTGGGATTGAACACGGAAGATGCCTTGATTAGCAGCAGTACGTAGATCAAGAACTCTATGGTTCAGCCGAGTGTCCTGATTTACACGAACAAGCTGCTCACCCTCCTACACATGAAAGTCCATTTCAGACTGATTAGAGCACGAACAAACAGTCAATGAGATCATTTAAGTAATGGATCATAACATATTTTCATTGGAAAGGAATACTATCAAATAGGTCCAACAAAGTTCCGTGAATAACTTCCATACTAAGGGAAGATAAAACCACATATGTTTCAGAAGAAAGTATTTGCACCTGCAAAGCTTTTTCAATTTCAGCTTCACTTCTTGATGCATCTTCAATATTGATTGGTAGAATTGGTGCAGCCTTGCTGATGCAATACAATTTGCGGACTTGAACTTCCACCTAAATGAAAATGTACCATAACAACCTTGAGAACTTCTACAAAAAATATATTCCTTACCTACCCATCATTTGTGAATCAGAAAGGGGTTACAAATTTAGATAGAAAGACTTTACCATTTTATTTGGTGAGTTTTTATGTTGAAACTAACATTTGATCTGTCTTAGTGTGTACTAGAGGAAAAACTTGTGCTTGAAAATTTATAATCAACTCTTTTTTCAATTAAACATTGTGCAGGCCCAGCCTCTTAGTCTTGTGAATGAATATTGATGAGTAAATGCTAAGAAAATATCCAGGAAGATAAACACAACAGTGAAGTGGCGTAACAATTAAGGGGCGCTTGATTAGGTTGTGTGTATATGGGGATTTGAGTTTGCACTCCATTTTAAAAATTCCAAAATAATTAGTTGTTGCAACCTAAAAAAATAGACCCCTTGTTTTCTTCTAAATTGGAGTTTGCACCCCATGTTTAATAGATTTTTCGAACTTTGGGGTGAATACTAATTCTTTTGAATATAGGATGCAAACTTAACTTTGGCCGCAAAAATGGGGTGCAAGTTACTATACCAAGGGTAAGAAAACTTATTCAAGAGAAGGAACTTAATACTGGCAGTTAACGTATTTATGTTAGATTATAGAGTACTGTCATCTTGAAATCATATGTGATGTTAGTCTATGTCTAACGTCTAACTCGAGTCTTGGAGATCAAACCAATTTGGTGAGGTATAAATAGAACTTGGTGAGGGCTACAGAGAAAAAAACTTAGGTGCCAGGGAGCATGAACATAACTATAATCACTAAAAGCTAATAAATCACATATTTGTCCACTGTCCTTATTTTGATCAAATGCTATGATCATATGTTAGATATTAGTCCCTCCGTGCTCCTATAATTGTCTCATTTTTTCCATTTTTGGATGTCCCCTTATTATTGTCTAATGCATTCTTACTTTATTCTTATTTTATCAACTCATTATCAACCGCATAATTCTATTCTACTTTTCTTACAAAATCACCACTCCATTCCTATTAGCTGGACGGAGTTAGTATTCCTTAATGTTATAATAGCGAGTATACCAACATGCAGTAGGTTAAACTTATGGTTTACTTTCCAGGTTAAAGAAGAGCTTCAATATTTAATCATGTCTTTAGCTCCTTAGTTATAGATGGTACCAGCTGAGTAGCGCCCTTGATTTGTTCCTTGGGGATAGTGACCACTCCCTCTATGTCAAGAATAGATTCCTTGCTCAAGCAGGTGGCATACTTCACCATTTGAAGACTGACAAGATCAGATTCAACTGCCAACACGCATTGCACCGTGAAGCCGCGCTTCCTCACCACAATGAAAGCCATTTTCTTCCCAACTACACGAATAGCCTGCGCTCTACCACGGATGAGGACACAATTGCCTTTCAAATCGGCAGTCAGCGCACCTATATCCGTCCATTTGCGGCCAGTGACTGCCTTGGACTTCAACTCATCAAGAGGAATGTCCCCATAGTTAGCAGCTAGAGGGTCAGCGGTTTCATCCATGGAGATAGCAGCCACAGAGGCCGCAGCAGCGGCGGCGGCGGCCTCCTGACGGCGGCGCTGGCGGTCCAATTTAGCAGCCTCTTTCTTGGACATTTTCTTTCCATCTCCCTCGTCTTTGGATTCGTTGATGGCAGGGGTTGAAGGTTCCAAAGATGCCATGTACAGGAGAGGTGCTTAGGGTTTTGGGGGGACGACGGAGATAGAAGACCTGAATCAAGGACAGGCGATGCGAGTTTTGGTCAAGAATATCGAGTGAACTCCAAAACGAGGGACCCAAGTTTCAATTTGACCTTAGTTTGGAACACACCTGTTCCAAACTACGGAGTAGTTTGGATAATTGGGTGTACACTTTTGGTAAACTCTTACTTACGTAGTACTACGTATGTCTTAACTCTTAAGCATATACTCTCTCCGATTCAAAAACAAATTTCAGTTACGATGTTTGACTGACGATAAAGCAACTTGATCCATGTTTACACTCGGATTATTTTTAGTAAATAAAATTTACATATTAAGAAACTATATTAAAACCGCTACAAAACATGATCAAGAAAATTTCAATTTAATAAAAATTTGATATATATAATAAAAGATTAGGAGTGACTTAAATTGACCAATGAATAGTGAAGTGGAACTTGTTTTTGAATGGGAGGGAGTATAAAGTTGTTTGTTAATAGACATTTCTGGTTCTTATAGCACATTAATCGAATAGTTATGAAAAACTTAACTAATGAGTAGTAAATAGTTTAGTGCTTACTTTAAAAAAAAACGTTGAAAATTCAAAACACAAGTAATATATATTTTTTTGAAGCTCTTATCGCATCAAGCCCAAAACACAAGTAATATGTATTTTTATTCAACGCTTAATAGAATCAAAGAATTTTTTATTTTATTTTTGTAAATTAAATTTGAAAATTGTTGTTATTTGATATCAATAAAAGTTGAATCATCATAGTAAAAGAAGACGTCTATTTTGTATGGAACTCAAAATATGCTAGACAAATAAGGAAGTATGATAATAGTATTTAGGCAAAATTTGGAATGAAAAAAGTTATCAGGCAAAATCACAGATACACTGATACACAATGTGATGCATGTTGTTAACTCTATTTATTCTTATTACTGATATATGTAGTATTATGGAAATATACTCTAAATACATAATAACTTCTCATTTTGTTTTCATTTTCTGAAATAATAGCATAACCAGGGGCGTAGCCAGGACACTGAGCTAGACTGGGCCGGTACAAAGAATATTATTGGGAAAAAATTCACACGAAATTTTTTACACTAAAAATATTGACATTTTTCAATTTTGGGGTGGGCCAGGGCCTAGCCTGGGCACCCCTAGCTCCGCCCCTGAGCATAACCTTATAGTGGTTAGTGATCTGCATATGAGGGTGTGACATTGATTCTTATATTACTTCTTTTTTAAAATTCAGTATTTAGCGGTATAACTTTTGGTATTTCATTTGTGGTATAAAATACAGAATCACTTCTTTTTTAAAAAGAATGTATGTAGGTAATATTACAACAATATATCTCCTAATTATATAAATTGCGTAAGGATGTTTGTTTGGTCCTCTTTCCGTTGCTGCAGCCATGAGACAGTTCACACCGTTACAGCTCTCATGTGTAAATGAGTGGTGGATGTCTTTCTTGATTCGTTAGCCATTTCACTCACCAGACAAAGCTAGGGTTGGTACTGAAATGAAGAAACCGGTGAGTTCCTCGCCATTGTTTACGTGAAATGACTCTGTCTATCTCAACCACTAAATGACTCTTCAGAGCCCGGATGCTCACGTCTCTGGCCACTCCACCGGCCGTTTGCTCTCTCGTCACTTTGCTTCCACATTCCCGCTCGACGGTTGCACCCCAAACGATTCGGTTGGCTCTCTCCACATTTGTAACTCATTCCACCCTCCCTTTTCTTCTATTTTTCAATTTCACTTGGTTTGTGCATATCTGGTTTATGACTATGGAAAGGGTTGGTCTTGTTTTCTGGAAGCCCATCACTTCTTAACACCAGGTGTGCTTCTGAAATTTCTCCTATGAAGTTCTGGCTTTCGTTAATTTGTATATATGAGAAGGAAATAGACCATCTGTTATGCCATTGGTTTCATCTCCAAATTTTCATGCAGATTATTTTCTTAGTTTGCTTTCACATAGATTGTTCTTGGAAACGAGGTTATACGCATCTATAAAGCCAGATTATTCTTACAGTTTGTTATTGATTACATGAACAAGGATTATATTTCATTATTTTGTTCTTTTGGGATTATTCATTTAACTTGAGGGTAAATCTAACATTATTTCTATTTCTTCTGCTTTTCCGCTTTTGAATTAATTAGGGCATTTGGCTGCAGAAGGTTTTGTCGCATCTACGCTTGGTAACATTCATTTTATATGACTAGATTTTCTGAAAGCTCTCAAAGACCTCAAAAACTAGCTTTTGTGATGTCTTCACGCATCTTTCTTATACAATGCAACTGCCTCATTTTTTCTCAAGGTTGGGCCAAGATTGGGCATCGACCATCGCGCAACGCGCGCGCCCAGCTAGTATGTTTGATATGTTTTATATTAATTAATGTGTCTAGACTACATCCGTCTTAAAAAACTTTGGCATTCACAAAATTTGGACCATGATTTTAATATATATAATACGAGGTATTACGAAAGTTATATATTTTTTACTTTTATGAAAATATTTTTAATAAATTAAATATATAATTCGTATCATTTTATTTTATAAGTAATTTCCAATAAAATTATATAATTTGTCAAAGTTTTAGAACCCGTTTGCTACTACCCAAATCGTCAGTATTGGTTGTTTCTGCTGAAATTTATGAAGTTCTGACTGAAATGGCTGGATTGACTGATTATGCTGATTTACAAAAAAATTAAAATATATTTTATTAATAAGATAAAGAAAAAAGGATAAATGGAAAATGGTTTAAATGATCATCTATACTAATTTCAGTCAATACAACCTTACTTTTTCTTATTATCACACAATTCCGCGCACAAAATAAAAAGTTACATTTTTGGTGAAAAATTGACGGATAAGCCTGATAAGTCGAAAAAACTTATCACCAAATGGGCTCTGAAATATGTTGGAACGGAAACTGTATTTAATAGTGATTGATAATTTACAATATCGAGTACTGATAATCTAGTTAATTAATATAGATTAAACATTATAAAATTGAGATTTTTATGGAATAAGTATCCTAAATCTCAAATCAATGTGTTATTTTAGTGTTTATTAGTCCAATAAATATAAATTAGTTTAGACTATTCCCCCTTTCCTTTTGTTGTCTATAGAGCCGTCAAAATGGGTCAAAACCCGCGGGCTGGCCCGTTTAAACCCATTTATTGGTGGGTTAGGGTTGAGAATTTCTAACCCATTTAGTTCGCGGGTTTCACGGGTCAACCCACGCGGGTTGCGGGTTTAAGTGGGTTGACCCACCGGGTTGCGGGTTGGCCCGCGGGCCAAAATACAAAAATAGAATTTTGAATTTTATTATCTTACATATTGTTCTTTTACTACCACTATTATTATAATTACAATTAAAAAAATTACAACCATGGAAAAACAATATTTATTTCTATAAAAAATATTCAAATAAAATGTTGAGATGTACGGAGTATATTTTATGTGAAGTTTGATACAATATTTAACAATTAGTAGTCATTATTTACAAATAATCAATCAAAAGGTTTATGTAGATCTTTATGTTTATACAATTAGTATTTTTTTCGCATACCCTCTTATAGTTTTCAAATTCTCGTATAACTAGTACTCCCTCCGTCCTAATATAAAATGCACATTTTCCTTTTTGGGCCGTCCCAATTTAAAAGGCACATTTCCCTTTTTGGCAAACAAAACAGTGTAAAACAGTGTCAAACAGTGCCAAACATTGTTCCTCCTAAAAATGTTTGAAAACGAAAATATGATTTTTATATTGGGACGGAGGGAGTATTTAATACGTAATATTTTTTAATTAAACTTAACAAGTATTGAATATTTAGTATCTTGATTTCTTATATTTCCTTTATTACTACTTACTACGGAGTATTATAAATACATACTTCGGGGTAATTTTTTAAACAATTTTTTGTTATACTACGTATGTATTTTTTACATTGGCCCGCGGGCTAACCCGTTTAACCCACGGGTTAGGTGGGTTGGGTTAGGGTTGTAGAAATTCCGGCCCGTCATTAAACGGGTTGGCCCGACCCAACCCACATAAAGCATAACCCGTCACGGGTCGGGTCGGGTTGGGTCGGGTTGCCCCGTTTGACAGCTCTAGTTGTCTATACGGCTTGTAGTCTTGTACAATAGCCAAGTGAGCATCCAACGGTGGCAATGTGGCATCTTTAGACCGTTAGTTGAAGGGCCTTTTTGCTCTCTTTTGTGGTTTGTTAAATTTTTTGCTCAAAAAATAAGTTTGAGGGCATAGATCTCCTTTGATGACAACTTTAGGCGTGTTTTTGTCCCCTTTTCCATAAATATATAATCAGTCAAAATTGAATTGTTTTGACTTGAAAATTTGTGTTTGACAAACTAAAAAGGGACGGAGGGAGTACATGGTATATCACTAGATCTGTAATACCCAAGGTTATTGATATAGAAGCTATTTTTCGTTTTAATGAATTTAAACATATAGTACTTGAAAGTATCAACAAATGCACATGAAAAACCAAAGTTGATATAATCCCCGGTATAACGCATTTGTTGCTGAAATAATATACGAAATACTTCTATTATTTATCCAAGAAGGATAAATATACTACGTAATGAATATTATAATACGGAGTACTCTCAATTATATATCCAAGAAGGCAACAACATAAAATATATCCCAAACACAACAGGACAGTAAAAAAGCAAAAATCACAGTAATAACGTTCCAGCTCGTAAAACACAACCCCCATAGTTCCATACTTCCATAAAATTGAAAAGTATCATTATTATGGTCAAAGAAATTACTGAACCTATTGTGATCACTGACAGGGTTCATCATATTTAAACGAATAAAATACCAATTAAGAAACATTCAAAGATTTCAAACTGCCGACCATTGATGTCACTTGGGACATGATTACTTCTTGGCAACAAACAGGCCCCATCTCTGCTCGCCGGAAGAACTCCTGACCAGCTTTGCCCTCCAGCCTCCAACTATTTCATTGTAGTCTTCCTGCATGTTCATTATGAGGTAGCTTGCACCGATTAGTTCCACATAGAAAGTTAAAATGATATAGTAGACTTATAATAAGGTCTGCAACAAATGAGGGAGTGAGCTCACTTCAGAGAAGTCTTCTATAAATGCTTCTTTT